GAGCGTCCAGTTTCGGGCGAGCGTCCAAATACGCCGGTGGACGCTCGTAGTAGACTACTGCGCATATTGCGCATGCGCTGTGTGCTCTCTTGCAAAACAAGAGGCACCTGCGCGCATGCGCACTTAGGAGCGTCCAGTTTCGGGCGAGCGTCCAAATACGCCGGTGGACGCTCGTAGTAGACTACTGCGCATATTGCGCATGCGCTGTGTGCTCTCTTGCAAAACAAGAGGCACCTGCGCGCATGCGCACTTAGGAGCGTCCAGTTTCGGGCGAGCGTCCAAATACGCCGGTTGGACGCTCGTAGTAGAGTACTGCGCATATTGCGCATGCGCTGTGTGCTCTCTTGCAAAACAAGAGGCGCCTGCGCGCATGCGCACTTAGGAGCGTCCAGTTTCGGGCGAGCGTCCAAATACGCCGGTACAGGCGGACTGTCTTTTAATTAATGTTAGCAATCCCAGACCATCGATATTACAATATATTAATAATGAAATGCATATAGTTTATATAGTTAGAGTATTGAGTATAGTTGCTCATGAACGTAACCTTTTACAGTGACTCTTAATTAATTAGGTAGATATTATATATCAAGAGTTAATAAAAACAAATATGTTATTATTTACTCCTGATAACGTTATTAATAATTATGATTCACTGTAAATGTTACGCACGTGAGTAAAATATATTTAATTCGATAGCACGTTTTAATTATTGACATTTTTAATCATTTGAAAATAAAATTTATAGCTGGATCAAGAGAAAAACATGTTATGCATCTATATGACGAATTCACGCGTACTCGATCTACAACAAACAGCAGTCCATTGCGATAACATGAGTGGACAGACTACGTATTTCATCATCTGCGGCACCCTAGTATGACCAAAGATCATGACGACGTCACTCTGACGCATCGATCACGCCACCATATACGGTTAGTGTGCTGTGCTTAGCCGCGTGCGTAAGCTTTCGTAATCACTTGAATTAGTAATTTCTACCGAATAGCGCGCGCCGAATTCCCCATTGCTTCCCGATGAAGTGCTATACGAAGTATAGTGATTACAACCCAACCAAACAATTGTGCAATTACAAAATATCACGTGTACGCCTTCTCGCTCCACGGCAGTCAGTGCGCGCACACGTTCGCATTGCTACCGTTGCAATAATACGCGGGTTAGCGGCGTCACGCATGACAGGTAGCGCAGCGCATACCTGTCTTGCCACTCCCCATGCGTACGGGGAATTTTCACGGCTGCGCATGCGCGTGATTGAATGCTGGAAGCGCAGATATTCCCTTCGCTTGCGGTCTCGGCTAACGTCCAAAGTTCGCCTGTTCGCACGTACGTGCACGTAGAAACGAAGTCACAGGTCGTGGCAACCAGGCAATCATTCCTTATCGTATCAACCTACCCCTGCCACGTTCGAGGATTATTGATTGATTCGCTTCGTACCTCGACCTCTGTCGTGTTACGGTTAGGAGGTGCTGCCGCCGTACAGGTAAGGCGATGAGTGGTTGGAGGTCGTACGTTCGTTGTTTGTAGCCGTCAGCCACACGGTTACAGAGTTCAACTCGTCTGAGTGGCTGCGCACTGTACACCTCGAGGACGCGTGTTTGACGACCATCTGTGCTGCGTGTAGATATATACCGTCGAGTATTGACTTGTCGATGAGATCTGTCGATCTGTGCATGTTTGTTTCGCGCACGGTGTGCGTGTGTGTGAATGGAAGACAACGAAAGGTCTGCGTTTTTGCTTCCAGCTTTCGTTGAGGTCGGGAAAGCTTGCATGGTAGTCGCTGGCGTGAATACATGCACTCCAAAGATCAGCAGCAGACACCCACAGCACCGATGCCTTTCTTTCAAAGGTAAGCACGCATATATCCCGTACACATGTACATGTACTGGTGTATGTATACATGTATGCCCGCTGCCAACCTGATAGTGATAGTGATACGTTGACTAGAGAAAGAGAATGGAAATAAAAGCTATAAGGCGACTAAGGCGCTAAGTGTTGTGGGTCTGGGCGGTCCGTGTTTATAGTTCTGTTTACCCTGCAATTGGGTAATTGCACCGTTCACTTTACCTGTGATTGTTTTGTTCAATTGGTGCTGAGTATGCAAGTATGTTTAGGTGCAGGTATACTGAGGTATTGCAAGGTCATGTAGTACGTATATATATCGTTACCATGCATATATGTTATCCTTGGGCCCATACATGCATCGTCTACCTTCTACCGAACATGCATGGGCATTATAAATGCAAATTAAAGCAATGAATGAAATCACTGCATGGGCACTAATTGGATGGTTAGGTGTCAACAAGACTAAATATATAGTATTACTCAATAAGTACGTGTTTATATGTGTACTGCAGGGGCGTGAACAGGATTTGTACCCGGGGGGGGGGGTCTAACCATAACCCAAACTTGCGAGCACGCGAAGGGGGGGTCTGGGGTCCAGAATTTTTTTTAAATTAGACCCCCTTAGATGCGTTTTCTGCATTAGACCCCCTGGACCCCTCCTGGGCACGCCCCTGGTACTGTACACTCAAGAGCATGATTACCGTTAGTGTTGGGAGTAGCCCGACCAGGCTGTGCGACGGATTGTCTATACGGGTATTCTAACCCTAGCAATACCGTTTCTTGGAGCTAGTGTTGGGAGGTGATTTTCGATCGAAATTTCAATACCCACTGTATTTGATAGATCGCACACATGGGCAGCTATGGATACGTAGAAATTATGTATGTATAGCCTCCCAAACAGTTCCAAATCTCCGCATTAACAATTCTTAAATTTAGAAAAGTGCTAATATCTCCATTTTAGAAATGCTGAAGTTGTTGATTTTTCAAACGCTATTTCTTGAAACTTACAACTCTGATTCAAACTTAATTTATTACGTTTCAATGCTAACATATCAATTGAACAAAATTAAGTTCCCTGGAATTTTTTTAAAATATTATATTTTATAAGTTATGGCTCGCTGTTTACGAAATTGTTGCGTTTTGAAAATCACTTCAAATTTTCGTACATATCTTTTCAACTTATTTCCTATTTCCTTTTTTCCTATTCGCATTTAAAAAAAATTCCAGGGACTCTTTTTTAGTTCATATTATGAACAACTTATTGTGCAACTCTGCTGTCTCTTAGAAATAACAAAAACAAACATTTTTTTGTATAAATTCACAATTTTTGCCGTCACTTAATTAGCGATGAATTCTTTTCATTATTTTTTCATCGAGAGCGTAGAGAGACATCTCTCTTATGTAATGGATATGAGCTTGAATTTGATGAGCAGTTATGTTGCAATGCCCTTTACAGTATTACCCGTCCGTAGCCCAACAGTATCCTTTAAAAATAAGAGTTTGGACTGTATTAGACACGCACAGTTGCAAACTTCGCTGCTACCTGCACATATGTTATGCTGTAGCTATTATGTTATGCAGTGCAGCTATATAGCACTTCTATACACTTCTACAGCATAGCAGCAGTTAGCTCCCGCTGCTGGTTAGTGAGGGTTGTAAAGGTAACCGCCATTTAATCGCAATGACCTTGTTTGCTTTGGTTATATCTCAATTCACCTGCAGAATCGTATGTGTGCAAGGTTTGAATGTAAAAAATATGTGGCTTAGGAGGCAGAATCTTCATGTAGGTTGATGGGTTTCATTGATTATCATAGGGTAATCAGGGTATCATAGGGTAACGAGGTGACCAGGGATATTCCCTATAATAATTATAATACTGAGCAGCAACTCTTACCTTGAAACCTGCAACCTAAACGGGGGCAGCCCTATAGATCGAAGGTCCGATATATAGACCGAAGGTCCGATAGACCGAATGTTGCAAAGGGAATTAGTGTTAGAGTTAGGGTTATAGGGTTAGGGTTAGGGTTAGTGTTAGGGTAGCCCGACCAGGCTGTGCGACGGATTGTCTATACAGACCAGGGTATTCTAACCCTAGCAATACCGTTTCTTGGAGCTAGGGTTAGGGTTAGTTAGGGTTAGGGTTAGTTAGGGTTAGGGTTAGGGCATATATATGGTTTATAGTGGCATCATATGATTTATAGTGGCATCGGTGGATGTGCGGCATATTCACGTTCAAATACGGCATCAGTGGATGTCCGGATGCGTAGCCTGGAGGCTAGGCGACCGATTCCGGACGTGTAGCCACTGCGTATTCGAATAAACCTTCGGTCTATCGGGCCTTCGGTCTATAGGACTGTAACCAATTAAACCACGGCGTGACCTCGATTTTCCCCTGTCGGACACTACAAATTCTGATCAGTCAGGGTCGAACCAGCTATAGTGCACCTTATTATGTTTGCAACAATATTCCCAAACATTGCTAAACACTGTCTCAGTGGTATATAGTGGTATGTAAGGCGACTGCTTAGTACTATAGTCGAGGCTATCATTATCTGTACGCTCCAGATTTAGCCATTGAGGCGACAATAGCTTAACTTGCATGCCTCACAGTTAAGTCAGAGAAACTAGACTGTGGAAGCATGGATGATGGACACCTATTCGTCCAGTAACCATGCACTAACCAGTGAATAGCAATGTGTTGTATCTGACTGGTTTGCTTTGATTTGACTCTGGAGCCAAGCGAAGACAAGTTAAATATAACTGTCTATATATGCTATTGAAATATCATTCGTGATATCGCTTACCAATTAAGTTTAGAATTGATAATAACTTGCACACTTTATCTTACCCAGGGGCGTAGATAGCGGGGGGGATGGGGGGGATGCATCCCCCCCCACTTATTGACGTGGGGGGGATGGCGTGTACAATCATCCCCCCCTACTTTCAGGAGGAAAATGGGGGATTCAAAATTTTCTGGGGGAGGACCCGCATACCCCCGCATGTTTCTTACCACCCTCCTCGAAATCCTGCATTGGCCACTGTCGAGCGTAACAAATTTAGCACCCCCACTTCAAAAATCGTCCCGCGGCGCCTGTAGAGTACTGCTAACAAAGATTATGATTATGAATATTTGTATGCATATCAAAAGTCAAATTTGGGTTCATCTGACAGGGGCGTAGATAGCGGGGGGATGGGGGTATATCCCCCCACACTTATTGAGGTGGGGTGGCTTTCATCACCCCCTACTTTCAGGAAGAAAATGGGGAAAAGTTCAATATTTTACAAACAATAAATA